TTATTATTATTGTATTTTTTATGATGCAGTTCTCTGAATCATGAGCTCCTGCTGATAAAAAAAACCTTGAGATGACATAAAACTCTGGCTGGTGTTGTGAWGACAAAGCTCGTACATTTAGGGACTGCTTCAGTCCAGGAGAMGTCTGGCTGTGTGTGGAAGCTGACTAACCTGGGCAGAAAGACGCTCTCCACCACATAGAAGTCTTGCATAAGCACATCTCTGTCCGGCTTTGAGGTGAGGTTGCCCACTGTGTAGCCAATCCCAAGCTGAATGGCTCCCTTTAAGGCCGATGATGTGGTCTTGACGGGAAAATGGACGCAAAAGCGAAAAAGAAAACATCACATTAGCTTGGCTGTCAGTGCTGTCCCGACCGCACGCAAAATGTGGAGAAAAATAGGACAAACTGAAGAAAAAAAAGTACAGCTATTCTAATTTATGAAGTGTTTTGCAAAGTTAAATGTGGGGTTTTATGAGACGGTTATGAACAATTACAATCTTACCTGTTGCACATAGCTCTTTAAACAACCTTTGGGGAAAAAAACTGTTTAATTCTAACCAGAACGATGAGCTAATGGCTAGTCTGAGCAGACTGCCATCTAAAACATTGTACATCCTTGTGCAAAGATTATTTTATAAAACTTAGCATCGCTATCAGTTTCTAGGATCGATGATTAACTGAAGCAGGATGAATCTCTCAGGTTTTTTCTACGAATTTAAATTCCAGCAAGAAGTGCCCCAGCCTGTAGTGGAAGTGCTATATCTAGCTGCTGCTGCTGTCAGCTTTATGAAAATGCTCAGGCTACTCATTAGCTCATCCATATGTTCAAAAGGAAACTATTTTTTTCTAATTTAAAGTCATTTGAAGAGCTATCTGCAACAGGWAAGATAATAGCTGTTCATAACTYGTTCACAGAACATCATTTCAAAGATTTTAGCTATCCTGTTAATTTCTACCGTTTTTTGTTTATTATGTGAGAGAATAATTAACAACCAAATCAAAAACAACCTATTTGTGTTTTTGCAGGACAGTGATCAGAATTATTCCTGATTAAAAATGTTTTTTTTAGCCGTTAAGCAAATGCTCTGCTTTTCCAGTTATGCTGACGGTCACCACTAAAACACCTATTTTAACCTGAAGAAAGGTACCTACTGTGCTTTAGAAAGATTTTATAGTTACATCTTTAGGTCATGCTGCCATGATGTCTAAATGTGTTTATTTTTCCACAAGTAAAAAAAAAAAGGTAATAAGTGTGACCAGCACTTGACTGATCTGTGGCAGCTCGCTCTAACAGAGGTCAGGACATTATGTTCTGCAGCTCAAGGACATTTTAACAACCTAAAAGTGGACTGGAACATGCTGGCTCCAAACCGAGGCATTTGAAAGGAAAAAAAAAAAGAATAACAGAATCAAACTCAAATTTACTTGAATAGAACAATTAAAGCAAACAGAGAAATGTTTGTCTGTTTTGTTTTGTTTTGTTTACCTTCTTGTACGTTTTCTCTCTGTTTGTGTGCASAGGCCCTCCTGTCCCATTTTCAGCTGTGGTGGACATTCTAAAAGAATAGACATAAACCAACAACATATTGAGAAAAAAAATCATAATGGATTTGTTGCATAACCATAAATAAAAAAGCGCAGGAGCTTAAACTTACCTTGCCTTATAGTGATAAGCTGTGCTGGACAAACAGCAATCAGGGCAACACCTCTGAGTTGATAGGTTGAGCAATCATCAGGGGAGCCTCTGCAAGAGAATAAGTGCTCAGAGTCACTTTTGTGTAATAAAAAAAAWAGAGGGGAGGAAGAACTGGGCAAAGAACTACTAATAGGCTCTCCATTACAGCCAGCAAGCCTTACTTCAAAGTAAAGATATGATGAGCTGAGCGCCGAGGGACTGACAGACGGGTATGCCTTCCAGCAGAAGACACCGTTCTTCTGTTAATCACTGCCTGACAAGTAAGGCAATATTCTTTAGACAGTGACTCGTGAAATGTTTGTGAGCTATAACTGTCAAATATGTTATTAGAGTCTTATTCTGGAGCAGGAAAACCTCTCCTGCTCCGTCACTCCAACCTTCACTTCAGCCTTCGCCCCCACTTACAGTGCAACTAAGTTCYTACTAAGCCACTAAACTCCTGTTTAATAAGGTGTTTTTTTTGTCCCTCCTTCAAATATGCCTGTTTTTGCTCTCCCGAGAAAATAAGGCAGCGTGACGTCAGCCTGTGCCTCAGTGCCTGTTTTCAGAGCCCGAACAGGTCAGAGGAGTTAAAAAGCTTAAAAGGAAACAGTGGCAGCACTCGGACTTTCTCTGACAGGCCCCGGCACGTCCGCAGCCAGCACAGCACCTGCATATAAATGCACCTGCAGGCTCCGGATCCCTGAATGTCTTCCTGCTTCATCAGCGCTTCAGGTGCCGTGTCCTCCGGCCAACTGTTCTGTGACCWGAGGACACATCCAGAGCTGGCACTAAAATATGTCCCTGTGTCACAGGGCTTTTATTATGAAAAATGTTCAATACACTTCTGTGTATTATTTTTTATGTACAGTATTGTGCAAAAGTCTTAAGCCAGACCTCATTTCTTTATATTTGTTCTCAAGACTCAAACCTTTTCAGACTTTCTAAAAAGTCTTTCAAAGACTTATTTTATATTTCATTTTTTTGGGGCTGCGAGTCGAGCACCAAGTATGGAATAAATGGTAAAAGTCTTCATCAAGGCTAATGGCTAACAGAAAGGTACAAACATCTGATAACTATTTCAAAGATACACATCTTTAATCCGGCCAAATATATTTCTGTATAATTTGTCCATTTAAAAACTCCTAAAACAATGAATGAACTAGTGTTGAGTCAACACCTTCAGGCACTTCGTCCCATAAAAGCACATTTTGTCCACATTTTATTTTGTCAAATCTATGAAAAGCAGCAAAGATTATCCACTGTGACTCATAAAATATCATTTCAGCATCAAGAAGGTGATTTCTAAATAACTATGAGCTGAAAACCTTGGCATTCAATCAATGATTAACTGAAGCAGGACGAATCTCTCCGGTTCTTTGCTGGATTTTTTTGAAATGAAGTGTTCATGCCTGACTCTTGTTTTATATTCCATTTTTCTATTTTTTGTGTTGTCATGGTCAGGTACAAAGACTGGACAGCAAATGAATGATAAAGCAGCTRAAGTCCAAAGTAAAACTTTGAAAGACCCTCAGAAAGCCTAAAAACTACCGATCAAGACCTTTTAAATAATTACAAATATAAAGTCTGGCTTCTAGGAAACTAAGAGTTAAACATTTGAGACAATTTAAAAAATCAGTACAGTATGTTAAGGCTTTGTTAAAAATAGTCTTCTAACAAAGAAGACAATGAAATTGTGTTCACGTGCACAGATTGAGATAATAAAAAGAATGCAGCAGGCGCTATGAGGTCTCATCTCCAGATAAATAGAGACCTTATCTCCAAACCAACTTTTCCGTTGCCAACACAACACATATTTTGGCCAGAGGAACAGAGCAGTGACTCTCTGAGAATGTGAATCATTTATGTCTGTTTTTTTCTTTCTTTTTTCATTAAAAAATATATCCTTTCTTACCTGAAGGAACATAAGCGTCCCGCAAACTCTCATACTATTATGAGATTAATTGTTTTTAAAAAAAGATATTATAAAATGCTCATTAATCATGAGCAGTGACAAAAAAAGGGTCAAATCTGGGTAAAGAGGTGCTGATCCACCTGAGCCGTCACTCCTCCTGAGTGCCCGGCTGATCTGGAGCTGAAGAATGTTAATGAGTCTGCAGGCCGGCCCGTCTGGCTCTCAGCTCAGACGAAGCCTGGGTGTCGGTGTCAAAAGAAATTGTGTGGATATCTCTGCCCCCATTTCACCTGACCCTCCCCGCCCCTCCAAACCCAGAACACAGTTTCCAGAACAGTCCGTGAGAGGCCAGCAGCTGCGGCGAACAACAGCCGCTCTCCTGTTCACTCCGCAACAAAAGGCAGGCAGACAGACGGACAGATGGACTGATATGAAACAAACTGACAGACGGGTCATCTTAATCGGCTGTGTCCTGTCGTCGTCAGGCACATCCCTCAGCAAACACCGCAGGCACATTGGAAAAGAACAAGCAAAACATGGAAACACCACAGCCGTGTTAGACATATGTAACRTGATACCTTTCCACATCCATTTGTGTCAAATCCATGTCTCTGGCAGACTGCRCCTCGAAGAGGATGAAGCAAACAGGTAAAATGATACAAGTGATCAATAAAAAGGAAACTCTGTATTTATGACACCGAACTGGTTGTGATTGGACATGTTTCTGTGATATGCTCTTCTTATATCACATTGAGAATGCACGATCAGGAAAAAAGCAAAAAGACCACTTTTCGGAGGTGGATGGCGCACAAATGCTGCAGTAATATTTAAATATCAAATAGATTTACACAGTACTCATTGTACATATGCTAATACAACCCCTGCCAAAAAGTATGGAATCACCAGTCGTTGATGAGCACTCGTTCAGGCATTTCATTCTGTAAAACAAACTCAGATCAAAAACATGATACAATAATAAGGTCATATCAAAGTGCAACTTGTTGGCTTTCAAGAACACTCAAAGAAATGAAGAGAAAACATTGTAGAAGTCAGTGAATGTTATTTTTATTGGCCAAGCACAGGGAAAAAAATATGGAATCACTCAAATTGGAGGTAGAAAATAAGGACACACCCAGTCAATTTCCTTTCCCTAAAAGGACAACTGTCTCAGGTTAGATCTGCTCGTTAGTCTGCAGTTAAAACACCTGCAGTCATGACACCTTGGAGGGCTGCTGGACGAAGTGGAGTGGCAAGAACCATGGCTCCAACAAGAGAAATGTCTCTTGGAACAAAAGAGAGGATTGTGAAACTTCTTGAAGAAGGTAACTTTCACGCATGGTTGCTAAAGATGTGGGCTGTTCACAGTCAGCTGTATCCAAGATATGGACCAAATACAAACAGCATGGAATGGTTGTTAAAGCCAAGCATACTGGTGGTAGACCAAGAAAGACATCAAAGCATCAAGACAAACAACTTAAGGCCATTTGTCTTGAAAACCAAAATAGTACAACTGAACAGATGAAGCATAAATGGGAGGAAGCTGGAGCCAATGTATGTGACCGGACCGTAAGAAATCACCTAAAGGAAATGGGATTTCAA